CAATGTGTCTTTGTTTTTGATCCTTTGATTCAGTGTAAATAATTTTTGTAAAAGACTGAAAGAAATAATAATACTGTGAAACAAAGTGTCATTCTGGTTTGTCTGTCTCTTTGCCTGTCTTTCCTTTCATTTTTCTTTTCTTTGCTCATCTTATTTCTTCTTCTACTTCACATGCTCATGCTCTTAGTCAATAGTTCTGTGACAATATATATACTCCGACGTTGCTAGCTCTCTGCTTTTGTAGATGATGCGGCGAGCGTCGGGCCTGTACTAGCACGCTCTTTTTTGGTTATGGTAGAAAGTTTTCTTGACAATGCACGTAAGAATTCATTTGCGTCGAAAATAGCCTGAATCATCGTCCTATCATCCCACATTTTTTTGTGTTGCTCATTCTTCCCCGTTGCTGGGGTGTTTCGTTTTGCGGGCCCACTGTATGGTTCCGTTTTTTTTTTGACTATGGATATGGTAGATTTGTTATGGTAATCTTGTCTGCATCCCAGTTGGTTTTGTCCCGTTATTCGGTCGCATCCCGGTTGGTTTTGTCCCGTTATTCTGTCGCATCCCGGTTGGTTTTGTCCCGTTATTCGGTCTATGTTGCTGCAGGTAGCGGTGCTTCATGTGGGACCAGTCATCCATTTTTTTTTTTTTATTGTCTTGGTATCCTGGTTGGTTGTTTCCCGTTGTTCGGCCCTTTGAGCGCGGGGTGGTGCTTGTACGTGGGAATCGTCATCCGGGATGGGTTCTTTTTGGTACTTTTCTTGATTTCTTTGCAGACAAGATTGTTTGACATCCTGGTTGGTCTCGTCCCGTCGTTTGGCCTGTGACGGAGGGGCGGTGCTTGCGTGTGGGACTTGTCATCTGGGATCTGTTTTGTTGCCGCCTGTTCTGTTTTATTTGGCTGTTCCCTTCCTCTCTTCATTGCCTCTTTGCCTTTTGGCTGTGTGCAAGTGGGTTGATATGACACACGGGGTTGGGGGCAGCCGCCGCTCAACCTACATCCACGTGGGCGGCCTTGTACGCAAGAGGTTCTGAACAGGGGGAGTTATAAGGAAGAAGATAAAAAACTGAATTCATTTTTTCTTGTTCTTCTTTCTTTTTTTCTTGCTTTCGCATTTGCGCTCTGATATTCTTGCCCAATGTAATGATTGTTGTTCGGACAATATTTTTCTGAGGATAACGATTTGCCCACGTGATCCGAACGAGACGAGACGAGACGATCGGGAGTAACCATTGATTGTGTTGCTCATATTGGTTGCATTTGCACTGCTCATAATAATGATTGGTTGCATTGCTGATAATTGCTCATATTGATGGCATTGCTCATCATAATGATTGATTGCGGGCCTGCAAGCATTACCCACTCGATTGCTCTATCTAAAAAGTTGAGGTCAGGTAATCATTCATTGTCCTCTCTAAACAATATCCAAACCAAAGGATCGTTAACCAAACCAGAGGATCGTTATCCGAACCACAGGATCGTTAACCAAACCAGAGGATCGTTATCCGAACCAGAGGATCGTTATCTGAACCAGAGGATCAGATACAAGTTCTTACAACCCCATCGGTCGCTGCATTTGAAAGTTAACAATTGGGTAATAATTCGTTGCTGCGCCATCTAGACAATATCTGAAACAGAACGAGCAGGTCATTATGCGAACCGCTGGAAAATATAACAATTGGTCCATCTGAACAGTTGGGGTAATCATTCATTGCTGCCCCATCTGAACCTTATCAATGCTAATTCGTCTGTTTGTTTGCGTGTCGGTATGTGTGTGTTTTGTTGTTCTCTCTCTGCCGTTTTTCGTTTGTGTTTTTTTCGAATGGAAGAAAGTAGAGGCATGCAACAAGAAAAGGTTGGGAAGTTGAAAGTAGCTAAACCAAAAAAAAAAGTTGTTTGATGTTAATTCTTGTGTGTGTGTGTGTGTGTGTGTGTGTGTGTGTGTGTGTGTGTGTGTGTGTGT